TATGTGTTATGTTTAATGTCACCTTCTGTTTCCCCCCCCCCCCGCTATAAGTTGTTAGCCGCCCTGAGTCCCCTCAGGGAAAAGGGCGGCCTATAAATAAACTTATATCCAATATATATATATATCCATAAAAAAAGCAGAACTCTGAGGCAGGTAGATTCCTCAAAGAACAATTCATTAGATACATCATATCGGCACAACTGGTGAAAACTAACTCTGGAAGTTCCTGTGGTTTTCACCTGATTAAAAAGTAAAAGTTCCCCCTTCCCCCAAGTCATCAATCATATTGTCCAATAGAGGTGCTGGCCGGTTGCTCCACTCCTCCTCTTCCCAGCTATCTATTGGAATGGCCTTGGTTCCCACAGGAAAACTTTTTGTTTTGACTACAAAACCCCAGCTATCTATTTCCCCTCTCCCTGTCCTTTCTTCCTTGTGGCAATCCTGAAGCCTCAAAAATAGTTTCAGCCAGGTTCGCTTCAGAGTTGACAGCTGGCCCTTCTGTTATACAGTATATGGTGGAATGCATTTAAAACATTTCTCAGCAACACTAAGGGCCAGTGCTGATGTATCTTTTAAAGGGCCATTATCTTGGCTTTCCTCAATCATGAATTCCCTATTTCTTAGCATGGATTGTTTTGCTTCTACCGGTAATCTCAAATGTTTTTAGATTATTATAGAACATTTTGGGCATCTCTCAAAAGAGGAGCAGTGCAAATAAATGTTGAATGAAGAAAAACTGGAAATATCAAAAGGGAAAGAAAGGAAAATGAAAGTGTTATGATGTCATAATCTTTTTTATAGTTTTGGAAATGCTTTATAGTTTTGGAAATGCATAGATTTTTCAAAACTGAAAAGAATTAAAAGTTATATTAAAACAATTTCAAAACTGCTCTTTTCCATTCATTCTTTACACTGATTGTATGTCCCCTAATCTTAATAACTTGGTAGAATAAAATATATGAAACTAAAAACATTGCTAAAATAAAGCAATTAACAATAATTAAGGTTGGAAATATATTATTTCTACTCCCATCTAAACCTTTTAAAAATGCCAAGTATTTAACTCTCAGATAAGAAAGCATATCAATGTTCTCAACTATTCAATTTGTACATTTCTGTGACAATTTGGGGTGAGGGTTTGTATTTCCTACCATGTTGCCCCGAAAATACGACCGGTCCTGAAACTAACGCCTTGCCACATTTTTCGCATGGGCAAAAATATAATCCCTCCCTCGAAAATAAGCCCCATGGACACTCCCCCCCTTGGCCAGGCAGAGCACTGCTCACCGATCTAGCGGTATCACGAAGGTAGCAAGCCGCAGGAGTCGGGGAGGAAAGGCGCTCACGTTGCTTGGTGCCTTCAGGATACCGCTAGATTGGGGAGTGGCGTTCTGCCTGGCCGAAGCGGGGAGTTGCCAGGCGGCTGCTCCCTTGCGAGTGGGCTCCCGGAGAGTCGGGCACAGCCTCAGGGGCGAAGCAGCCATGAGGTGACCACGCTCATGAGCAACCGTCCAGCAAACCCCCTCTCCAGCCGGGCAGAGCACCCTTCACTGCCCTATGGGGTACCCCTAAGGCACAAAGCCACATGGCGCTTTGCCCACTCCCCAGCTCCTGGG